GAGTTGAATGAACTGGTACATCTCGTTCGTGAATGAAATGACTGAACTGGTACATATGTCGTTCATGAACGAAATGAATGAGAGCGTACCGGGTCAGTCGGCCATTTAGCATGTGAGTCAATCTCGATCAGCAATCAGCAGAAAGCAGATGCAAAGCGCAGTTATAGGTACTGTGCACATACGCTTGTTTATATATTCATATTTAACATACAGAACATAACTCCACGTTTAAACCCCGATTTATGAATGTGTAAATGTCTGACCAAACAATTAAAATGTTAATTATGCAAGAAAACCTTGTGCTTCGGTCATCTGAACAACTTATTTAGACTTTATTTATTTAATGAGTAGATTATGCACACATTTTAATAAAACCAAATCTGTTTTTTGTAACAAGTAAATACGTTCGTTGACTTAAAGGGGTCATATGATGCGATTTACATTTTTCCTTTCTATTTGAAGTGTTACAAGCTCTTGGTGCATAAAGAAGATCTGTAAAGTTGCAAAGACTAAAGTCTCAAATCCAAAGAGATATTCTTTATAAAAGTTAAGAGTCAGCCACACCTACCTAAAACGGCTCATCCTTTGAAAAATAAAGAGAACAACAGAATGCGCTGCTTTAGCTCCTTGAGCATCTTACTGGCGCATGCCACAAACATGAACCACAGGGAATACTTGTCTTTTAAAAGGCTTCATTTAGATTATTTTACATTAAATGCATCATATAAGTCACTTTGGAATAAATCACAGTAGGCCTATGCATCATGATAAAAAAAGCGACTTTACAGTCTGGAAATACTTTAGGTTATAGCAAATTATTTCTCGGACCCCATATCACTTTAAGAACCACTGGTCTACACAGAAGAAACACCTGTCTAGACTCTGCCCCGGTACGAGTTGTGTCGAGCTATTCATTAGTCTGTTTGATGAGAAAAATATGGGCGTTTTGGGAGAGTGAAACCGGGTCCCAGAGCGGATAAATCTGAAAACGCCGCCCTTGCGTTTTCGTGTGGACAGCGAATCCGTTTATTTTCTGAAACGATGACGTCATCAGCCCACGCCCCTAGTCAGAAACCACTACGTCACGTAACAGCAACAAAAACATGAACAAACTCTGAACGATTGTCTTTTTATTAACTAACATTAACACAGATTAATAAATGTATTGTTTCATGTTCGTTTGTATACTAGTGATGCAAAGTCCGATTCATTTCCGCAAACCGGTTCTTTTGTGTCAACACATATTGAAACATTCAAAAAATAAAGTTATTTGTGTGAAAGCATATTGCTGATTATTGCCATATAAGTCAAGTTAATGGTGTTTCTGGTCACAGTTTCATTAGTGGATCCTTTATGTCAGATACGACTGACTGACCAATATTGACTAGCCTACAGCTTGGACAAGTCCAAGTCTTCTTCTCCGTTTTTAGTGTCTCTCGGTGGCAGAATTACAGCGCCACATACTGGTCTTGCATGTATACTACATCATTTTGTGTCAGTTTTGTGGTTTCGTGTAGACGTAGATATTTCTTGAGACGAGAAAAAAAAAGATTGGATAGGGAAAGCGCTGTCTTCGTGTGGACGTAGCCTTAGTTTATGTTTAATGGGGAAATTTATCATATATATCATATTCTCAACAGCATAAGAACTGAGCAGATGTTGACAATTTTAATTTCCCCGTGTATGTGTAGGACTACCTGATGGCGCTGTCTCTGCAGCAGGAACAGCAGGCCTCAGACCTGGGTTGGGAACAGATCCCAGAAGGCATCAGTGATCTAGAGCTGGCCAAGAAGCTGCAGGAGGAGGAGGACCGCAGAGCGTCACAGTACTATCAGGAGCAGGAACAGGCACAGGCAGCAGCAGCAGTGGCTGCGCAGGCACAGGTGAGTTAATAAACTGCACACAAGAATAAACAAACACATACTTAAGATCATTTACCTCGAATGCCATTTTCCACAAAATATTGGCGTATATTACACATTCAATCTGACATAACATCACATTAATGTCATGGTGATCCAGACTTGATGGGGGCAGCTGAAAGGCTGTTGCATTAGTTGTTTAAGAGGACAAATAAGACCTAGCAAACCATGAAAGTGTAAATTTGCGATGAAATGACAGATCTCTACTTCCATACAGTAACATACATCTGAGTGAAAGATTATTTGAAAAAAAAAAAAATTGAAGGACAGGGGCATTGTTCTACAGATCAATTGTTGATTGGATGAAGGCGGATCTAATTGCAAGCTTGCAGTCGATTGTAACAAAGGGGCAGAGTTTAAGTGGACTAAATGATTGGCAAAGTTTGGCATACCAGACAAAAGTTTGTTATTTCAAAGGAAGATCAAATTCTGACATTTTGACTTTAAAAAGCTTTTTGAAACATACGCATGGGTGAATTGTTTACAGTAAGCTCAATAACATGTATTTCATTTCATGCCTACTTTAAAGAGTTCAAATAAGAGGTAATTTGTTCCTCTCGTGTCAGGGACAACAACCAGGAGCGGGTGCCGACCAGGTGGATAGAGTGGCAGCTGCTGGAGCCTCAGCGGGGGGAGCCACGGCTTCTCCAAGCCCTGGAAAACAGCCCTCAATGGTGGAACGCAAACCCAAGAAGGAAGCCAAGGACAAAGACAAATGCATCTTGTTGTAACAGCAGTGGACTCTACGTGGAGTGTGAAACGGGCAGCAGTTTAATTCCTGTGGCTCTGCAATGCATCTCCCAGCCTGAGGTGGAGAAAGAATAGACGACAGAGATGAAGTGTGATAGTCGGAGAGGACTTGCCATTCTCAAGCCACTTGTGCCTGACTTTAACCCTCGGAGTTCTGAAGATGCAGACAAGAAGAGAGGGGTGTCACTACAAGGACTATCACTACATCTTTCGTAGACCTGGCCAAATGTTCTCAGC